TATTTTCAATAAGCAATCCTGAAAAATATTTGGGGGTGCTTAACTTTTTTCCAGGTGTATATATTATAACCTTATGTCAATGAAGTGGGCATCAAATTGTATTTAGCAATTCAAATCTTAATATTATCCATATTTTAATTTCGAAAGAAAACACTAAAGTCTCAATCTTCATTCTTTTATGCCACACGATGCATCTGGCTTCGATTTCTCCCTTTCAAAATTTTCTAACATGAAAAATAGTTGCCAAGACTTACAACTAATTAGAAACACAAACTACACATAATGACAAGCAATAATACAAAATTTGAATCTCCTACCTTCTAGATTTGCTGAAATATAAATAAATTTGTGAAACCCACTAGAAAAGCCTCTCCCATCTTTTCATGCATTTCAAACAAATTATTACATTGCTATTACTTGTCCTATGGAAATGCTTACAACCAACAAAAAGAGTATATTATAATATACAGGAATCTTAAGACTGATTGTTTATACTTGGTGGATAAAAACAGTATTACAGCAAGAAAAGCTTGAGGTGTGTTGAATGAAAAAGTTGCTACTAGTAGTAATGGAATTTGTTGAAAGTATTTATAGATTAGTTAGAAAGGCAGATAAATTATAGTAGTTTTGGATATTCTATTACAGTAACTGCTATATTTTGTATTCTAAAAATGCATATTTTAAAGCCTCATGAATTACTTTTTGGAAAACCAATATAGTGAGAAAAAAATAGAGTTAATGAAGCATGGCATCCAAGTGCAAATGAGCTTCAATGACTAAAGTAACTGTTAAATTTCTTGTTTTTTATGTATATTTTTGCATTTACTTTTGTATATTAACAAAAGTAACTAAATCCTTAAAAACTTTTTAGTTTCGATAACAAAAATAAATTAATCTCAAGCTGCAATGCTTAAGCTTAAGAACTTGAGTTTGCTAGCTCAAACAGTGTAACTCGATTGGTTTGTTTACTTTATTTGTGGGTTGAAATAGACTTGGGCTCTCACAGTTGAAACCTGCTTTTTTGTATACAACAGATTTATAACATTTACTACAAGCTTGCCAAATTTTGTGTAAATACACTTAGTAAATTCAAAGTTATAATATTTATAATTTCACACGTTCAAGGTGGGTCATATCAACCCACTTTGTATGGAAGGAGTAAAAGAGCATATTATGATAAAGAAGAAAAATTGATATTGATGTATCAATAGTTACTGCATTTTATTTACAAAAGGAATTCTGAAATTTAAAATGCAAAATTAACATTAACAAAGTATGATTTAAACAAATTGTTTATCATTTTGTAATGTTATACATGATACAAACTTTTGAGATTTCACCCTATTATTTAATTTTTTTAACATTACTTTATTAGAAGCTCTTATACTTCTCATTATATCATTTAATGTCTCTACAAACAGAATGGTATTGCATTTGTCCAGTATGGTATGTTTAGGGATAAGTCAATTCTAACAGTTTGATTGACACACTACCATTAATTTCATATGACGAAGAAAAATTTTTTCTTACCAACTGCCCTCTGAGGGGGCATTGGAGGTCGTACTGGAGTTTCTATAGGACCTACTGAGACTGGTGGAGGGTGTATGTGATGGTTGTTTGAGCTGGGTTTAGGATCACTAGGGGTCAGAGTTCGAGTTTCTTGTAGTTGCTGGAAATTTCTCTTTAGAGTTGACTCTTGCTCAACTGGTTCAATAGAGCTGATAAAAAAGTCATTTACATATTATTTTTAAAATGAAATAAGTAATCATTGATTTATTCCCAAAATCATGATGATTTATTGCAATATTTTAATGTTAAAAAAAGGAAGCAATAAAAAACATTAATTGTAAAAGTACCTATTTTTAAAGCTCAGTTCTTAAAAAAAAGATAGAGAAAATGTATAAAACGTAACAGATCTACTTTTAGACTTAAAGCAATAAGTCACATACCTTGGTTCACCTGTTAGTCCTGAATCTTCCTCTTCTCCATCACTTCCACTGTAGCGATACACTTCCTGAGATTCTCCTAAAAGATGCCAGATTTAAAAACAATTTTTAATAATGCTGCTTCAAAATACATTTCTTAACAACTTAACAAATAATTTCTTGAATGTCCATATCTTATGCTACTTCCAACAGAAGAATGACCTTAACAAAATAATAAATAGCTAATTGATTTCCAAAGGCTGATACTCTTTTAAGAACTACTCCGTCAAATGTTGAGGATTGAAGCTAAATTTATGTATTTTGTGTTATCATTTTTATGAATGCAGGAAATAAAACTACAACCTTATTGTCATTTACAGATGCAATATATATACACACACATATATACATATACACATACATATGTATGTACGTATTACTATAGCTCAGTTATGTCACTTACAAACTTATGTTTGCAAATGATCAGACAAAGCAGGTTATTTACCTCTCTTGTGTTTACGACACCGGTCAATATGCTCTTTTAGTTGGTTGCGAACCTGTCTTTCAGTTGGTTGATCCCTGATGAAAGAATGTTTTAACAGCTGGTCTGTGTAGGGACGCTGTTGATAATCTTTTACTAAAACAGTTTCAATGAACCCGTGAAATTTTTTTGACCATTTCTTTGATTTCAAGCGTGGTGGAGGGTTTCTTGGAATTAGGAACAAAGCACGCATTGGATGCATGTCACAAAGAGCTAGAACAGAAGAGTACAATATGAACGAAAAGAAACCTCCCATTAATCGAGGATATATAATAGATCAACAAATGAAACTGTATGATGTTCAACTTCAAACAAATAATTTTGAGCACAATGGATCATTTATTTGAAACCATGAATAAACCCTTGGACAATAATGTATAAAAAAAAAGACTGTGAACAAAGTTACAAAACAAAACAAGAGGGACAAAACAGTTACTTTCAATTTAAGATTCAATAATAAAATAACATCTGAACTTACGAGGTTGAGCTTCACCCATTTCTAAAGCAGTAATACCTAATGACCACAAATCACTCTGTAAATAAAAAATGCATAAATTTTATTTTCATATAAATGAAAGATTAAACTTTCAGTATATTATTAAATTTCAGCTAGAATGTCTTAAAACCTTCTTTGTTTTAAATAAAAGTTTTAATTGGAAAAAATTAAAGAAAATTATTAGTATGTTGAAAGTAAAAAATTGGCACACACAAAATTTTAATTTCTTACAACTAAAAGGATCCTCTGTTTATTAGCCCAGTCAATACAGCATATCTTAGTGACAAGCTTGTATGTCTATAACACATTTTAGAAACTGCAATTTATTCAACATAAAAAAAATTACAATGATGATTCAAAAAAAACATTTGTTTTTATTTCAGAAACAATTTAAAATGGAATATTGTGCTTGAGGAACTAATACCACAAAGGCTTGTATATGCTATAATCTTTAATAATGATTTAATAATTTACTATTCCAATACACTGACATTAAGGTCTGTTATTTATGCTGTTGGGAACCTTTGGTTGGTTATTAATTAATAAAGTTAAGGACCATTGTAATACGATTTACCTCATAATTCTTAACTCTTTCAGCATGGGCTTGGTCCCTTGGACCGACCTCATAACCATTTTGTGCTTGTTATAGCTTTTATGTTACAACTTTTAAATTAGTAAAAGAATGTTAATGAAATTTGGCAGATTATCAGTAAACATTACAATGCTTTCATACGCAAAATATCAATTTTTTTTATTAAGTCTTAAGGTTTGTAAAGCAATGTTTTTCTCATGC